CATGGTCCATTGATTATTTTAGCCAGTTTCCTGATGCACTGAACAATATTTTTGATCGTCTTGTCATCGTACTCATAACGAGTCCCAAACAGAACCTTACAGATGATGTTGGAGGCTGCTAAGTGAAACATCACCTGAGGACTCAGCGTTTTTCCTGGAAACAACGTGACAGAAAGACGAGAACATCACATCAACTGCAGAATAATAGGTTTAGTTAACATCAGTGTATGGATGATGTACCAATGCTTTTTTCCAGGGTTTTAATGGTGAATTTGATCTCTTCATGGATTCTCTCTTCCATGGATTTCTTTCCCAGACCAAAGTTTTTCAGAGTCTTCAGCACGAAACGACGATGGTCCCTCCAAAAGGAGCCGTAATCGGCCAGAATCATCCCTAAAACAAGAAGACAAAACCTTCTGCTCAGTGTCCATGGATGTACAGAACCAAGACCAAAGATCCAGTGAACTGACACAAGAAAAGAATCAATTTGTTGTAAATATTTTACAACAAACACACACAATTATAAAAATTCTAATGACATTTTTTGCAGTTAAATGAAGGATTTTAAAAGGAATCAGGACGAGTAAAACTTCACATTTTAACATTTGAAATCATCCCTGAATCAGAAAACTGCATTTGGTATATATATATTTTTAGAAATTACAGCACATAGTTTTTTTTTAGAGAGACACAAACGGACATCTCTCCATCCGTTTTATAGTATCTTGATTCCTGAAGAGTTTTAAGGAACTGGTGTCTGTTTCAGGACAAACCAGCAGTCCATCACAGATACAAACAACCATTCACACACACTCAAGTCTTGGGATGATTTAAGGCACCCGCTAACCTCACCTGTATGTTTTAGGACTGCAGGAGAAAACCAAAGTACCTGGAATAAACCAACATGTGCATGCAGGAAAGACCAGTCAAGAGCCAAAACAAGGATCTTCTTGCAGAGAGGTAACTTCCAACCTGCTGCTCCACCGTGCAGTTGATTTGAGATACATACCTTTACTCTGCGTTAGGTCGTTGATAAAAAGGTCTTGGGGTCGTCCAGCAAAGTCTATGGCCTTGACCGCCATTGCCTCTTTCATGGTCTTGAATCCATTGATGACCACAGCAGGTTTGGACCCAATGAACAGACTGTAGACATATCCATAAGACTGTCTCAGCTGCAAGGAAACAAAAAGTTCAAATTATATACTTTTTTTTTTAAAGTGCTGCCATGGTTAGTCTCTGTGATGTCCTCCAGTCCTTACAGGGCTAAGATACTTTGGCACTCATGGGTCCTGTAGCAAACCATTGTGGAGTTTTACGAACTGTATTAAACCACAGATGTAGAGATTCCAAGCAATTGTAACATCAAAAAGAGAAACACAAGAAGCTGAAACCTGGGATCAGCTGGATCCCCGTAGCTCCAACAGATCCCAGGAACAACCTCAGAGATCTTTGTCCAGAAGAGCACAGTCTTAGGAACAGCTACGACACTGAACAGAACCCTCAAGAAGGCTTCTGATAGGAAAGCATCCAGCAAAGAATCAACGAGAAACTCATTTTTTTATGTTGTTCACTTTCAGACTTGAAGAAATCTTCAAAAACAGAAAGATTTACATATAAGTACATTTTACTATCCAAACATTTCCAGAACTATATGTAACCAGAGAATCTGCATTTCATGTGAAAAATTTAGTGAATGCTTTAGCTGAAGGATTTAGCTGAAAGCTGCCGAAAAAGCTTAAGTTGACTTGAAACACAACAGCTGAAAAGTAGAAAGAAGCAGCTGAAAAAAGCACAGGAAAGCTGAAATGATCCAAACCGTATTTGAAAATAGATTAAAAAAGCTGAACGTTGCAAAGAAAAGGTAAAAGAAATAAGCTTAAAATGTTGCTGAAAGGAGTGTAAAATGACTCGATTAGCAGAAAAAGCCAAAAGGAACACAAAAAGGGGTAGAAGAAAGAATATTAACAGAGCACAAAACAATTTAATTCAATTCAGTTTATTTAAATAGTGCCAAGTCACAACAGAGATCATCTCAGGGCACTGAACAGAAACATTCATATATATAAGAAGCAAGTTAAGATTATTTATCTGAGGTGCAGAGAATTTAACCATTTTTGATATAAAAAGATTAGCAACTGTTGTGGAGACATTATTTTATGCAACCATAAAACATTGTTTTGCATTTATGTCAAGTAATGAACAGCATGACTTATATATGCACAGCTGAACATTTTTATTTTATTTTTATATTTTTTTAAGAATACTGACTCATCAACACTAAACAATAAAATCAGCTGTCTGAGCTGTAAATACTTGATGGGTAAAGTTCAAAATGTCAGGCAGTGACTTCAGGTTTTGTCAACAATCATAATGTTAAAAACAGTACAGCATTTAACCCTTCTGTTATTGCTAATTTAAAATTTAAAGTAAAAATCAGCAGCATTTGTTGCAGCACTCTTTTTACCTTCTCCAAGTCTTTTAAGGGATTCTCTGACGCTAGGTGCAAAAGGTTACCCAGTATCGGCAGGGCGAGGGGTCCTGGTGGGAAGTTTTGGGGTCTCCGAGGTTTAAGCTGAAGGAGGATGAAGCAAACGCAGAACCACAGCAGAACTACGTAGACCAGCATGGTTTGGACTGGACTGCACCGAAGAGAGAAGCCGACTGATCTTCAGCTCAGCTCTCAGCTCCTGTACTTTGATTCTTCGCATCGTGGTGCGTGAGAATGTCAAATAAATTAATATAGAGAACGTCGAGAAGCAAGATATCATTGTGTAGCAATGATTGGTCAATCCAAATCTGTTTTGGTCTCGTCAACACTAACAGAATATATATATACCTGTATATATATATATATATATTCGGTTAAAACAATAATTCTTCTGGTTTTCAATATTCATACTCTGAAATTGCTGCATTAACCACGTTTTCTTTCAGTTGTCAACTACTTCCAGAACATTTGAGACTGAGCTGAAAACAGCACCTCAGAATGAGGAAGTCTTTCGGATGAAAGACGAAACATATTAAATTTTTTTTGCTTTGTTTTGTTTTTTGTTTTTTTGAATGTCCAGAGGACCAGATTGAACTTTTTTTTTTTTTTTTCTACCTGGATTATTGAGCATATATCAGGATACTTCCAGAACATATAACTTGATGTGACAACATGTGATTGAGTTTATCTAATAACAGTTGACCACTGGATTTCATTCATGTAACAGTGTGATTACATTCAATGTTGAGGATAAAGCAATCATAGTGTGTTTCTTTCATTTGATTAGTTTAAACCTCAAGGCAAAAAAAGGGTCTAAAGTTAGTGTTCAAACACCCTCTTTGAGCTTTGTTTGACATCATTAGTTTAACACCACTTACCAGTAGATTTCCACCTGTATTGAAATAATAGTCATTGCATCAATTATATTTGAAGGGGATGTGTCCCACTCACATTTAAAAAATATTAATTTGCCATCCCCCCCACCACCATACACACACACACACACATTTTACATGAAATATTTGTTTATCCAGTGCAGCTTCTATTTCTTCGTAAACAAATCTATTCCGCTTCATTAACAGGACAATACTCAACTAGTCCACTCAGGGTTACCTACAACAACACACCACAGCACATGCATTGTTTCCCCAAGGTCACTTGCCTTGGCAAGGCCCTCGGTGGGGAGGAGGGGGAGACACCTCTGTGTTGCACGCTAGTTTAGCGCTATGTTAGTGCCAGCAGTTGTTGATTGGTGTGTGTGTGTGTGTGTCACAAATCCATCACAGGGCCACATAGAGACAAACGAGACAAACAACCATTCACTCTCTCACTCACACCTATTTCCAAATCTCCACTGGTATGTCATTTTTTTAATTCATTCAACCTTTATTTATACAGGTTAGTCTCACTGAGTCACGAGGACTCATTTACAAGCGAGAGCTGTTTTAGACAGACAACATGTAAGGTACAGACAACAATAAGCTACAGTAAAATGCAATTAAAATAAAAGTAGTGTTATAAAACAATAAATCAAGGTGCCATAAAACAAGGTAAATTAAAAAACATATTGGTTTGGCTATTTCTATTGACCTTATCAAATGTTTGAAATCCCCTAAAGAAACCAAGTTGGGCAGCTTCAGTTCCTGTTGCAAGGGGTTCCAGGTTACGAGAGCAGAGTAGAAAAATACCTTTTGCTGTGTTCAGTCTGCACTGAGGGATCACAGCAGATAATGATGTCTGGTGAGCAAGGGCATCAGAAGCATCCGTAATGTGGGGGGGACACACTGATGTGGGTATGTGTGTGTGCGCGCGTAAAAAAAAGTGTATACTAGTGTACAAAAAAGCAACATTTCACCTAGATTACATTTAATTCCACACATTTAAAGCATGTTTCTCATCAAGTTTGTGTAAATTCAGCTGTGGGTTTAAAAGACATTGTAACTTTAATACACTTTAAAACAGAGCGTCAGGTCGGCACCATTTGTGTTTATAGAGAAATTTAAAAAAACATCACCACTAGACATTTTTACTTGTGTTCAAAACTACTCATCTAAATTATGTTTTTCACAAAGTTTGAGGACAATAAGGTGTGGGGTTTTAAAGACATTTCAACTTGAATGCACCTGAACACACAGCGCCTCTTACACCTGCATCGTCTTACAGCGTCACAGTTACTGCTAAGCTAACATGCTACAAACGTAGCGCTCCTCTCAAGCAGCCTCCTAACATGAATATATGTTTATGATCAACCCCCCAGTCAACAACTGCCCGCACTAAGCTTGCTAAACTGGCGAGCGAGCAACACAGAGGTGTCTCCTTCTCCTCCACCTGTGCGCATTTTCTGCCGAGGCAGGAGACTCAGCAGCTGCTGCCTGCACAGTTTCTGCTCTGTGTTAGAGTTGGAGGTAACCAGGAAAACCTGGAGTGGAGTTTTAGTGACTCGAGTATTCTCCTATTAATTAAGTGGAATGGATTAGTTCACGAAGAAAGAGAAACTGCGCCGCCTGAACTAATGTTTCAGAGTAAAAGTGGGGGAGGTCCAAAGGAGTGATTAGATGAAAATGAACCAGTGTGAGAGCTATGTATAGATAAAGATGACCAACTGACCAATGAGTGCAGTGACAGGTACAGTAGTTGCAACCAGTTATAAATCTTAGCGCACCATGGTAGATAGCATCCAACATCTGCAAGGAGCTGGCAGGGGCATTCATGTAAATAATGTCACCATAGTCAATGGCTGGTAGGAAGGAAACAGTTCCAAGGTGTTTTCTGGCATTCAAGCAAGATCTATTTCTGAAAAAGAAACCCAGTTATTATTTCTGTTTCTTTATCAAGTTTTTGTTATGTGGTTTAAAAGAGAGATGTGCATCAACCAAAATTCCCAAGTATTTGTAAGAGTCTACAAACTCAATAGGAACACCATGCATGAATGGGATAAGAGGAAGAGTTGTTGGCACCGACTTCCTTTTTGAAAACATCTCTTTAAGCATTTAGCACCAGTTTGAGATGGAATAAGTCAGACTGAATGATGCCAAATGCAGACTGTAGAAGCTGGAAAACCTTGGCAACTGAATAACATTCAGTAGACAATGTTTGTGTCATCCTCTGGCAGTCTTGGACCTTAACTACATCAGGTGGCTAATTAAAAAGATGGTCCACAGCTGTGGAGGAGAAAAACTCCTCCCTGCCACACAAGAGCTGCAAGAAAATGGTGTGAACACAGAAAATACTGCAATCGCCATGCAATGGTTGGAGATATATATACATACATACATACATG